AAATAAATACTTTTTTATTATTATTATTATTGAGGGCTGAACGATTAAACGTCGTTATGAATGCTGAAAAATACAGCAGTTTACTCAACAAAGTGCACCGCAACAGCGCGAGCAAAATGACGCGTACTATCCAATTACACAGGCATGACGCGTACACTGTCCTATTACATTGTCCAATTACAAGCATGACGCGTAGACACTGTCCAATTAATGCTCAAATCGGGCTGCTGATAGCCAATCACGTTCGAGAATTTTGATTAATGTAATAATTGACCATAATGAAGGGGGCCGAAGACAAATTTCGCGCGTGCTCTTGCTAATGCGATTCAGAGCGCGCACAAGGATCACACACACAAAAAAACATGGCGTCGATACAGCAATCATTTTATTTGTTCAATATCATCGCTATCAGAGCTATTTTTCTTCACGATTGAACAGTGTATTGATAGTTTAGTTTTCTAGTGGAAAGGTTTTTTAGAAAATGTAACGATGCAAAGAAACAATTCTCAGATTTTTCTTTCTCACCGAAAAAACCCAACTCATTAGAACTTCACGAAATTTGGCCACATAATACTTTTCGAAATAAGTAACTGGAGTATATATCGAAAAACATTCAAATTTAGCAAAGGAAATTCTAGATATTCCAGTTACCCTTCAACAAGACACAATTAAGAATCTCTGTGTTAAACTACCATAATTAAAGTAGAGTTAATTTGTGAGCATTGTTACAAGCTTGTTGCATGTAAATGATGAAGAAGTCCTAATGACTAGATTTTCCGCAAATAAGCAAATCCGATTATAAAGGCCTGTTTATAATCCTAAATGTTGCTATGGTAACGACACAAACGTCGGCTTTACTTTTAGAAAACCAAAACTTGTGTTATTAACTTGCATGTTGCCATATTTGGTGACCAAAGGATCAAGGGTTTTAGAGAAAAAGGGGAATGAAACACAGGTATCAAAAACTGTGTTCGACCACCTTAAAAATTATTCCACGAGCGCGCGTTGGACATGGGATGGTAGATAGCCGACGACGCGCGTTGCGCCGAGTTTGCTATCATCATCTCATACTCAACAAGCGCAAGTGGAACAATCGTTTTATTAAAAAACGCCCCCCAAATATACAAAACTAAACTAACATAAAAATGAAAACGCCCCAAAAAATCAAGCATACGCTTACCATAGTTGTAGAGCATGGTATAATGGCTCATAACCAATGATGGCTAAGCCAAAGAAAACTCTCGAATTGCATCATCCAATGATGTAGTTTTTAGTAAATATTAATAGCCAAGGTCTTCTCGTGCATCATATTCTAAATTCCATGCCTAAAATTTCTCAACAACCTAATCATTCACGAAGTGAAACAATATTTCTACGCAAAATATATATTTCCTTGTTGACTCTCAACAGCAATCATATAATCTAAATGTATCCTTAATTAACTATAAATACTAAAGACAATTGAATTCTTTATAACAGTTTATCCTGGAAGAAACTCGAATCTACAAATTAACTTATTTGCTAAACAAAACAAACACTATCACGGACTACAACATTTTGTAGAATCGCTATTGTTAGAATGACCCTGGAGCACTCTTATCCGTTATGAATTTGTATCTTTTTAAAAAGCTTTTACAAAATATAAAAAAATGTTCAGATTTAGACGTAACCTTGACTCGTGTCCAGGCTCTATCTAAACGCAAAATGCAACTAAACTTGGTCCAGGCGCCCATGGCTAGGTCAGCTACAGTTTTCTAACCTGACAAATAAACATTACTTACGAGTCAGTACACAAGCAACTATTATAAGATTTTCGGTGAACATTAATTCGACTTTTCTTAAAAAATTATCAACCCCGTTTTTCTAATCAGGATCGATGTTAAATACTAGTGATAGTTTTACAATTTTCCGGTAGCGACTTCTTGCATTTGTACTACAGAGTTCATACTGGCTACAGTCAATTAGCAAATACATTACCGTTTACACAACAGGAAATTGCCGTTTAATGCCAGCTTAGCAATAGCGGTATCTCGAACAACTGTGCCATCAGTACCCAGAAGAAACGATGTTCACAAAGCTACCTTGCATTCAGTGACGCAGAAACCTCTAAAGTAATTTTAAGTCTTCTTTTAGTTTATAGTTTACTGACTTAGAACTATGTAAACTGGCGTTCGTACTTACAACCTGACTAACGCTTCGTTTTCCTACTATAAGTCTGACAAAAACGCAACAGCACTTTCAAAAAATCCCGGCTCCTTCTTCGGGTACCGGACACAAATGAGAACATGTTGTTTAAACATTGCTTGCAAATCATTGTATTTTGGTGCAGTATTGTCTCGTCTTTTGTTTCTACATGGTTTTTATTATTTTACAATTCTATTATTTTACACTGTAAACTGAAGGAAAATCGGGAAATGCCTTCATATAAACAGTCACTACTGATGTCTTTATCGAAGCAGTTCCATCTTCATGTATTATTAACTTTAAGGTCCTATTTCCCTTGTAGCGAAACGGACAACGACGACGATGATGATGATGATGATGATGACGACGACGATAATGATCATGCATTATTACCTGTCTATTTTTCCATGTTTTCATCTTTTCTCTATTCCTGATATTTCAAGTTACATTTATTTACACAGAATTATCCCGCTGAATCTTTACGTAAAATACATCGCTCCTTTCATTCTGTCGCTGACNTCTCAGTGACACAAAAATCCTCGGCCTCACACTTAAATTTAACTTTCGCACCATGATACACCAGATAGTTCAAGCTTGCTTGACCTTTACGTACGTACATGAAAGTTTAGTATGATTCTGTTACTGATACAATTTTTTTTTATCAGTGTTTGTAGTCTTTACTTTCAATCTACTCTTTCTCCTTATATTCTGTTCTGTAAACATTGACTTGTCTGGCTTGGTTGAACCATGCAGCTGGGAAAATATACCGGCATAGTTCTCTTCCTTGAAAGGGTCGTCTAATTGAATCCCTCTATGTATCTTAAGGAAGGAATTGTGAATTGTAGCTAATCGTTGAGTAACGTGACAAGATAGATTTTGGTCGTATTATGACTTGCCCCAAAACCTTTTCAATTAAAAATCGTCTTCAGTTATTGACCACAATTTTCCCCACGCAAACTGTCATTGTTTCTTTTTTCATCTGTGGAAAAAGGTGTGTAAACCGTCACAAAAAAGGTTGAAAATAAATTGCTCGGAGTTCAAAATGAATTTTTGTTCTATTTGCTTTTCATATTTGTTTTTCGGTGGACGTCTATATCGTAGATCAACATTTAGATGAACAACTCGCGTAATATAACTTCCAATTTCAATCTTCGCAGCATTTGCCACCTAATCGAATAGAGGTCGAGTTACGCTCGGCACTCAGTTACAAAAAAAGTTAAATCTGAGAATCATGAAGTTGATTTTTGCGTTTTTATTTGTCCTGTTGGCAACTTGGGTTCACGCTAACCCCTTAATTGAAGCGGAAGATTTCAACGGGGAAGATATAATCAAGGAGGATGATCCAGTACAGGACGATGACGACGAATGCGATGATGATGATGATGACGACGACGACGACGACGACGATGATGATGATGACGACGACGACGACGATGATGATGATGATGGCGATAAGGTAGGGTTGATAGTAACTAACCCTAACCCTAACCTTAACCTTGTACTGCTGACTAAGTTAATAACTATAACTTTCAATGCAATAAAGAAATTTCGCAGGTGACGCGACTTGCACTGTTAGCGTATCCCTACAAAAGTGCCGTGAAAACTTCTTTCTTTCAGGATCGTGTATAGGTTTTTGCTATCTTTGGGTTGTGTATCTCCCCTTCATTTATTTCTTATTACGTATGGGAATAGCGAAATTTTTACAATTATTCGTACCTAGTTTCTACATGGTATTTGATGTTATAGAGGAGTGGCATAGTTTCAGTTGAACAGTCCTGGCCGAACTCAAAGTCTTGAGAGTGAACTGAGCTGTGAAACGTAATTCTGCTTAATCAACCATATTGTAGGCTTCCTGCAAGGAGTGTAAGCTCCAAAAAAGATTCACAGAGAAAGAAACTCTAAATAATTGTTTAAACTGGACTCTCAGCTGTATCAACTCTTATTTGCTTGTCTCCTTTCTTCACGTGGGTTTCTAGATGTTTTACAATCCGGATGAAGACTTTTTTTTCCCAAGCGTGTAATAACCTAAATGTTTGAGAAAAATTTTCAAGCTCTCTTTCACTCGAGCCATTGTTTGAGGTCAGGCGTGATTCTTCCGTGCAACAGGCCCAAATGTACCGGCCAATGTGGACAGAAGTATGGCAAAAAAGGATGTGAAAAAAAATCATGCAAAGGCTGTAATTACTACAAAGAAGAATGATATGATCCTATGTCCACATCTTCCGTTATTAAAATTATTTCCACAGCAATGTTTTTCTTTTTTTCTCGACAGAAATGCCTAAGGAAGGCACTTAAAAAATGCTTGAAGAGCTGTTCGAGCAATGTGGAAAAGTGTCTCAAGAGGGTTGTAGGGAAATACGATCCTGATGATGACGAGGTTTGTTTTCCTTTGAATTATTAAACAAGGGAACCATTCTTGTCCTTAAGTCCTTTAGCGGAACGGCGAAACAGGTTTACACGAGATGAGTTACAGCTAAAGAATCACGAACAAGTTACAAGAGACGATGCTCTTGCCCAGGAAAGGGGGGATCTCCCGTAAAAGAAAGGACGGGGTTGCTCGTCGTGACTCTTAGGAGTTAAAAAAGCGGTTTTGATACCTTTTAGGGTTTTCAGCCTCAAAAGGTCCACTGCGGAAACTTTCGCGGTACCTTTTAGGGCTTTAAGCGGAGAAAATATGACAGGAGATATCTGGAATTCAACTGGTTTAAGACGATGCTTTCATAAACTTTACGAGTACATGTAGCAGGTATTCGATGCAATCACATATATCGCCATTAAAAGTTATGAAAGTGTCAGCTACTTTGTTGTTTTAAAATTGGTACCTCTCAGGGGTGAAAAAATTTCCGAGCCACACCCATAAAAACAGGATCTTGATACCTGTTACGGGTAACCGTTCTTTTAAAAATTTCTGACAAGCACCTCCCTCCTCTTTTATATTGGAGTACCCCGGGGAGGGGCGGGGGTGCATGGCTCTTGGGCGTTGATGCACACATCATACAATGTACAAGAAACTGCAATGTAAGTCGCTTATCAAATTCTTTCCTTTGTGTTTAGAAGTGTGATGAAACACTTTCTCTCGAGTATGATATATTACTTAAAATACCGTGCCCTATGGATTCAACTTTACTAAAAGGGGTGTGATCCCGCTTATTCTAAGGAAAACGACAAACGAAAAATAGCCGCGATGTGCAGTTAAGTTACTTTTTTTACTCTTGTGCAGAAAATGTGCATCAAAAAGCTGCCAGATTGTGTGTCAGAGGTCTGTGATCAAAGAAAGAAAGAGAAGCCTAGAAAGTGCATGAAGTACTTCAATAAATGCGCCCAAGGAGAAGGATCTGGACTGGAGCTGTAACGTCACAGCTGATTCAAATCCACGCATTGTTGCTCAGTTGTTGAGGCTTCAAAGCTTTGATTAAATAGTACTAAATAAATGTGTTAAAAGTCCTGGAATTCAATTTATTTTTATTTATTTCAATTAGTGCAGGATTTTTACTTAAAAATTATCACGTGCAAGTATTTCCTGGATTTCTCATCAACCTACATCTTTGCACGCAGAAGTTAAAATGAAATCTTATTCCATAACATCCCCGCCAGTCAAGTTTTAATCCACAAGCAAAACACAAACATAATGTACACTCGGGGATATTGGAACATGGCTATATATATCCCTAGCAATAACTCAGCCAGTTCTGTTCAGCGTCGTTTCGTAATCTTTATGAGAGGTCGACCTCCTTTAGGAAAATACTATGCTAAGACGGTTTAACTGACTGACTAACCGACTGACGGACTGACTGACTGACTGACTATAAAGTAATGTTAATTATCCTAGACCTTGCAATTTTATTACCTAATAGCTTCATAAATCTTGCCCTCAAGTTCAACTGACAAGCAAATTTATATCTTCAGTCGCACAATGCGGCTACGAAGTTGTGAAGAGCGATGAAAGGTGGTTGCGTTCGGCGGACTACAATATATTGACTACAATGTACTCTATTTGCCTTGTCCAATGTGTCAATTTATCTTGATCAATGTTTTAACCACTTAGCTTACTATCGCTAAAAATGCTCATCTAGGACGTGCTTTTGTTACAGAAGTTCTTAGCAGCCTGATTCTGGCAACTGGCCTGTCGTAGATTGTATTTTCTTAATTGACTGTAAGAAAGAATCACACCAGATAAATAGTGACGAGATGGTGACCGTCTTTTCAGTACCATCTGAAATGTAAATGAACCAGATTCAAACATGACTGCTCATTATCATAACCAAATCCGATTTTGCACGATTTCTTCCTTGCTCTTTACAAGGATAATCCCATGCTTTACGAAAGTCGTGTTTGCCGAACACATAGAAGCAAGGGTTTAGAAACGACGAGGCAAATCGAAGATATCCGAACATGTACTCGGCCCACATCGGAAGAAAAAATGCATCGTACGCTTGCTGGTATCTTAGCAAGAAGAAAGGTAACCAGCACATCACGTGAGTAAGAAACATGACTAGGAAAATAGACGCTGCTTTTCCCTCTCGCTTTCTCCATTGTCGCTGCTCCTTCACATCAGCTGGAACGTTGAGAAATTCCCGTCGACTCTGTCGTCGCACTTCGCGTAGAATCATCAGATAAGTGAAAGCCATGAACGCAACAGGTATCCCAAGATACACTACAAAACAAGCGATGCTGAAAGCAACTTCGTTCTGTCGTTGATCCTCGGGGACGCTTTCCTGTGGATCGTAATTTGCCGGTCTCAGCCACCATAACTGCATCAGGGAAACGAGGAGCGAGCTGACCCACACGAACCCGAGGGCGATGTAACTTCGGTGTTTCGTCACAATCTGTGGATAGCGAAGAGAAAACATAATGGCTATAAAGCGATCAGCAGTGACGGCTGAAATATGCGATACGGCCAAGAATGAGGTGAACATCCAAATGTAAATTGTAGTGAAGCACATTCCATGCTCTTGGAAGATGTTACACGTAATGCTGAGCGGTAAACTAATAAGACCAGTGAGAAAATCACTCGCTGCTAATCCGACCAGAAAGAAATTAGTTGGAGTCCTCAACGATCGTTTTTTGGCCACAAGGACGAAGACCCACGAGTTAAGAAGCACAATGATGAGTGCCATGAGAATTCCAATTATATCGTGTTTAGGACTGAAGTAAGGTGTGTACTGATCTTCGTCGCCGAAGTCATCGTCCGCCTGATGGCTTTGGTTGAATTCAGTCTTGTTCTCATTGAATGAACAGCTTGTGTTATCGGTACGCATTTTGTCTTGAGAGAGTTTCACAGCATACGATGGTTTCACTTGTACAGCTTGGCTGACTACAACTTGCTGTTCATCAGCGATCAGGAACTGCGAGAGAATAACAAACAACAAAAGCAGATGGTTTACTTTGCATGGCGGGTAAATACATTAAAACTCCATAAAATTAACGCGGAGTTCACACATTTGTCTTGATTTAATTAATGGAACGTAAGTGCAATGTGTTAATCAGCAGCTTTAGTGGTTGTTGTCACATTAACACCATTGACTACAGTTTACTGCTGTTAGTATTCAGTTAAAGGACGTTACTTCACACTCGACTCTGCGGTCGCACTAATTATTTGTATCTTAGCGAGAAGAAAGGTAATCAGCACATCACATCAAAGTAGTTCACGACAGTGTTAATTTTTAGTGATCTTTAAACTAAGTGCAAACATGGCTGACCGTAAGAGGCTTTGTCTGGTTGCCGACCTGGTTTCATGTTTTCGTGCAGGAAACTGTCGTCAACAACTGAGAAATATCGTCAAACTTTTACAGACCGTTTTCACATGACGTCGTGGCAGCTATATTGGTGTCCCAAAACAATAAAACGGTTGACATGCTGGGGTCCCAAACCAATCCCGTGGGAGTTGAACTCTCTTTTTATGTAAACCCTCTCTTTTGTCCAATTAATATGTTAGGCTGTTGGCTACGTGACTGAAATCCTTTTATTGGGCCGTGTTAAAAGGGTACGCAATGTTTTCGCATTAGTTAATTTTTCTGTTTGTTTTGTGCTGTTTTATTGTCATTAGTGTTATTAGTTTCTTCATCCAGTAATTTTTTGTACTTGACATAATTATGTTCATCTCGCAGGTGTTAGACTGCAAACAGATTGTCGATGGTAAACTTAGGTTTAACTCATGCAGCCAGCTTTGGTATAACTATTGTTACTTTGTATTGTCTTTAGGAGGATTAGAAAAAGATGAAACATCTTAAGTGTATAGGCTCCTGTTAACTGTGACTGAACCGTCTTTACCCTCGCTTAGTATGCGTCCTACGAGCTACTGAATCGTTATTAAGGCTTAATAAGGCGCGGCTTGCATCAGAACCAGGCCATTTTCTCATTGTTATGGGTGATCAAATTGTGACGAGTGAAATTATGAAATATTTTCACGCATTTTTGTCAAAATTCTAATAATTCTTTAAGTCTTTAGGCCAGGGGAATTATGATAATTTTGACAAGACCGCGTGAAATTCACCTTGGGAGCAGAGAAAAGTGGCCGTTAGTGGAGGTTCGGCTGTATAAATTAACGATGAAATTTCGCGCCAGAATTAAGAGGGAATTTGTCGCCCGTGATATTACGTAAAAAAATTCATGCTTGGACAATATTTCTGTTACAATAGGAGCAACTGAGCTCAAGAGAAAAAAACATATTATTGATCCTGTTATTGTAAAATTATTCTAAAATAAATCTGCCGTTTGTTATATTGAAGTCATGGAAGTCATTAAACTCGCCACTTGACCATCATTCCCACCTTTTACTTAACGAATTTACTGGATAAAGAACCGCCCCAGATTAAGCGCCGCTTTCGATTAAGCGCAGCCCATATGAAGCTAGGCAAAAATCGCCGCCTCTGAATAACGCATATAGTAGAAGCATAGTACATGTAGGGTACAACTCGACCAAGTTAGGCACGGAGATTTAGTCTCCTGGATTACGATCTTTTTCATTTCGCAGTGGCTGTATTTTGTTGCTAACATTTGCTTGCTGTCATTATAAATATTATGATTTTTTAAGAGCTCCGCCGCACTTTTCCCAGTTCGAAAACGGTCGTTGTCATTTTCGCGACACTTGGAAATTTTTCAACTGAAAATGAAGTTTTTTCTATTAAATTAAAGAAACAAGAAAAGTTTTATTTCGAACCCAGAGCTCCTCGTATGCTAGCATCTCTCTCTTAGTACTACACCACCAAATAAACCTAATAATAAGCTTTAACGTGTAGCAGGGAGATCCGATAAAACAATTTTTACTACAAAAATATTGCGTCTTGCAAATTGCGCATGCTCTTCGCACAATCAAAGTTATTATCACATGGCTTGTTTAATTCTTGTGGCCGATATAACGCGCGCTCTGATTGGCTAATTCTAGGGCATTATTCTCCCGTAATGCCAACGGGCCGATTACAAGCTTGCAAAAAGCAAAGCAAAAAGCCATGTAATTAACAACTTATTTACCTCAAACACTCGGTCTTTAAGGGAAAATCTCAAGCCTCGGCCTTGCCGTATTGACCTCGCTGTCGCCAGGTCAATAGGGCAAGGTCTCGGTCTGCGATTTTCCCGTAAAGACCTCGCTCTCGGTTAATAAGTAGTCTTGAATACCACTTCAGCTTGGAATATGAGCTGCTGAGAGATAACAAGAAAATATTGGATTTATTGAAGGCCGTTTTTTTTCAATTAGCAGTTCATGATTTTAAATAGCATTTATTTATTTTTTTCCAAGAGGGCATGGTAACGAATCCTGCAATCTGATTGGTTCTTAGCACGATCCATATTTTCCTATCTCTGACCACGGTCACTGAAACGCTTTCACAGCGAGTGAAATCGTCGTGTTGATCAATTTTCGTGATTGAACAACAGGTATTCCAAGCTGCTTGAGACCGGTGAACATTATTATATAGCATTGCGTAATAGCGTAAATGTACGAGTTTGTATGAGAATGTAACGATCGTATGTAACAGTTCAAAATATGGAAAAGAAATTGAATAAAAACGACTTACTTCGACTCTTCTCTGTATACACATATACAGATACTTGTGTATAATTATGCATTATATAGAGAGGAGAACGATGAAACTGAAAGTCGCTGGAATCACTTTGAAACGGTCCCAAAACGGCACGGAGACAAAAGTACCACACAGAAGAGTCGAAGTAAGTCGTTTTTATTCAATTACTTCTCCACATTTCGGATTGTTACATACGATCGTTACATTCCCATACGAACTTCCATATTTACGCTATTACGCAGTGTCACATAATAATGTTCACGGCTCCTAAGGAGCTTGGGATACCTGTGAGTGATTTAACAGTATGTATTTTATTTGACCATCATTCAGTCAAATGTTAAGGGCGGGAGACAGATATTTCTAGTTGAAAGCCAATATTTGCAAATGAACATTTGTGCATGCATGAAAGCCCACCAAATGTGAATTCCAAATAAACAACTCCGCAGATTGGAAATGAAAAAATTTAGACAAAACAATGTGGAGTTAAAAAAAAGGCCGAATGACCAATATTATAAGTTACAATATTGGTCATAAAATTTAAGACTCAGAAAGGCTGTTATTAACAGCCTTTCTGAATCTTAAGGTGGCTTTTTATTGTGTCCTTAATAATCCTTAATCCTTTCAGAAAAACAGATCTATCTCGTTTATGACTGTAGACTACTGTATTGTCAGACGAAAATCACATTTGAAAATTTCGTTACTTCAAGTTAGGATTGATATATGGTTCTTATTCATTTTCTCTATAAATTAAGATAGGGAGGGTGATGTTTTTCAATTCAAATCCCCCTACATATAGATATGCAGTTATTTGCTTCAGCGACAAAATGAAGTGATGAAACGACCTGGTTTTTGATTGATATGAAAGGTTTTTTTTTTTTCTTCTAAATTTTGTCTTTCTCGTAATCACCCATTGGCAAAATTAACTATCATTCCGAAAAACAGTGTAAAGCAAACAGCAACACTGATGAAAACACTGTTCAATATATTAGTTTTTCAACTGAGTGATCGCACACTAGGGTTTCAGCCATTGGTGAGAATTATATAAGCCAAAAACACCCTTCTCATGCAGCACAACAAACAATAATTAGCTACAATCAAAGTACTGCTCAATAGCTTTCACCTAAATGCCACGGAGCCTAAAGAAAGGTGCACTGATCAACGGAAAATATTGCTTGTCAGCTTTCGTTTGCACCCATACACTAGAATGAACCTCGTCCACTAAGCGCTACTTAAAATTAAAAGTTACAAACCGACATCGATTGACTCAATTCATGCAACAGTCGATCAATTTTCTGATATTGTGGTATTAATGATAAGATATGTCCTGTGCCATTTTTGCTGAGTGTTGTTCAGCTGCACAGTTTGTAATATTGATACCAATAATCTGAATTTTGAACTGATGAAGCAATATGACATCGTGAAGAATAAAATAAAACCCAGGAAAAAGGTATTATATTGATCATACTGAAGAGTTACTTTCTCAAAATATCCTCCTAAATGCTATGGAAAATCGCCCCTACCGTCCTTGTCGCTTCTAGTTTACAAATTAGACATTTTTTTTTCCAAAAAAATTATTTCAGTAGTTAATGATGGCGCCATGAATGAATTCAAGTGCATATTTTAAAACTTCATATAGCTGTTAGACGGCAGACTCAGTGGGGGTTATACTCCCACTTTATCAATATAAATAAACATTGCCTTGGGGATGTCTGTACCAGCACACAAATATCCCTAGACCAAAGATGATAAAAACGATTAATCACTGAAGAAAATTGTCTCTGCCATGAGACCAGCCAAAGTCTTGCTTTGTTTTAGGAGGTCATCGTTGATGCTATCGTACCAGCAATGATTGCTCTTGAGGCCAAGGCTTCTTATTTTCCTTCCAGATTAGAATCGAACTTCCTTATTAGCTTACGCCTTTATTTTACTGCTCGGTGATGCAAATGCTTGATCATAAATCTATGTTCTTTGTCACGTTCATCGATTTCAATAGTGTTATTTCTCAGTTGCAAAAGTATTTTCATTTCAGGTTTTTTGCGACAATTAGTTTTCCAAGAAACCGAAAGTGGTAGAAAACTTCCTCATTTACCGACTTGAATCAAAGCAAAAGCGCACCAGGGCTGTGCATTTAATAATGGAATAATACTGCTTAACGTAATTATCCTCTCTCAAACATTCGCAACGTTCCCTGAAATGATATTTACAATTCAACTCCCGTTAATGATTGTACTTTTTCTAAGGAAAAAAAAATCTCTTTGGGAAAGGAAATATATGCTCAATAAAGGTCTTTTTTTATCCAGAAGTTGACACTGAGTTTTACAAAATATGAAGCTAGCCAAGATCTCACCTTGCCGAGCAGATCCTGACAGTTTTTGATCTATGGATGTAGTCACGATCTTTACCGAGAAATTACGATCGACCTCCGTCCGCCTCAGATTCGCCTTGTTTAAAGAAATGCTGTTCACCTTGTTCCGATATCCACTCACACGGGCAATCAATGTCTGTTGTATAATTCCAAATGCGGAACTGTTTAGTTAAGATATCTTATAAGATATCTTATGATATCTCTGACAAAAGAGACTAGCTTTTCATTTCGTTCTTCGATCGTTCTACTCCATGGAATGGACAGCAATTTCTCATGTAATAAACTCCAGTCTATAGCTTATCTATCATTCAAAGCTCTGAGCTGATTGGTGTTAATTCTGTCAACAAACACTTTTGTGTCAACGTTTCTCTTAAGTGTTTTATTGTGTTTGTGGCTACATGCTCTCAAACTTGTGGCTGCCACTTTTCACACAGGATATGTACTCCACTAATGGAGGCTATCGCCCCAGGAACTTTTCCTTTATTACGTACAGCTAATTAGCATGTCAGCTGTCCCTGCTAAAGCAATGTTCTAACCAAGACAATTATCTACTTCACATATATCTATATCTATATCCCAACATCAAGAGCCTTGATGCAATTGCAGTCAACTCGAATATCACTGAAACCTTTTTTAAAAAATAAGTGGTATCTTTTTATTCGCAAAAAGAACACATCACTAACGGATGGAAAGTCGAAATAAGACATGCATATCGCTAACTGAGTCTAAACAATAAAGAATATAAAATAAAACCTTGTTTATTTATAATGAGCTGTATTTCATCAATTAAAATTGTAAAGAATATCACGTAGTCATCGAGAAGTATTTCAATAAAAGGTCGAAGTCAATGGACGTGATATAGGAAGGGGTTGACGCTAATCAACCTGGCAACTTTATCACTATATACAGATAAACAAGAGACACGATGCCTAATGGATTCAGTTTCATAATGGTCAGTTCCTTATATAGCGACCACGCGACGGGCAGCTTTTATCTGTGAATTATAATCGCTTCAATTCTTGTCTTCGTTGTTTTTTTTCCCACCCTTTTATGCATTTGTCGCGCCCCTCATGTTTATCTTTCTCATCAAGAAAAATTCACCAAATTTTAACTCTTGAAAAGCGTAAATTTGGAAATCCCAGACCATTTATGCATACCGCATACTACAAAAAAACAAACAAAAAAAATTAGATACTGTCGCGCCAGAAATCACAAGTGCTCGATGTCGAATACAAGAAGGTCTAATTTGCTAACAACTCCCAACTTAGACACTCAAGTGACAAACACAAGAAATTTTACTTAGTTACAGAATTTGGGAAACGTAAACATCCTACAATGGATTTTAATGATATTTTTCACACGCAAATAAATTATCGCGAATGTAAATACCACCAGGTATTCTCAAGGAAGAGTGATGCATTGGCAAACTTACTTAAGAAGAACGTCTTGACAACAACACTTTAGGAGCTTTAGTTCGCTGTTGATCTTTCCTTTTTTACGGGAAAAGTGCACTATTACAAAAACTATTACAAAAGCTTCATCGAGATACAATCAATCATGCTAATCGAAGAAGAAGCGAATAAGACACGTGCTTTGTTATTCCAAGGGTCTAACTTTAAAATGTATGAATTCGGCGAAAAAAATAAATAAATAACTAACCTGATCACCACTAATTTCAATATAGAAAAAAAAAAAAAATCCTTTCACTAATCAATCATATCCGAGCATTTTATCGCTTTATAGTGATATTTACCCCCAAGTGGACATTTCATAATGGTAAAATGTGTTCTAACAAACAAGAAAATTGAAAGGTTTTATCAAGTTATTTTCGCACAACTCCTTATCTCATATTCATTCCGCCCTTTTATGGGTCTTCCTTGCCCCTTGTGTTGTTTTTCCCCATCGCGCCAAGATCAAGACAGGAAACTCATTTTATTTTAGCAAGAAACGCCTTGCGGAAACAAAAACAAGGAATATTCCTGGCTACAGTTATACGTGAACTTTTAAATTATAAACTGACGTTTTTTTTCCGGACGAACGACTGCGTGGTGCTTGCGCGTGAAACGAAGGCTCACGTTCTTGCAGACGTATGTAACGAAGACATTAGTAAACCCTATTTTGTTTCCTCTGCGTCAGAGGAAAAACTGAAGTGGATGTTTTCCTCAGATTAGAGGCAAACGTTTTTAATGATACTTCAACAAAATCATCGCAATTTGTAGATTTTCTTAACATTTTTGCATTTGATTTGAACAAAATAAATAAGAAATGGAAATTTTAAGAGAGATCACCTCGTTCACTACAAACGTGATTCTTTTATGTTTTTCTTTATCTTCTCATGTGAGTGAAACAGATCAAGTCACCATTTTATCATTTACCGCTGTAATAAATCAGTCATATCTTATGTATTCCAGGAGGGTTCAATCCAGATGCTGCTTAACTTTTATTAATGTAGAACTTTGCGACATAAAAGTATAAAAGTCTGTCCCCCATATGACATCGCTTTACTAATCGTTCAGTGTAGCTCCGAGTTTAACCTGAGGAGTGCGACGTTTGTCGTCCGATACCGATTCTGGGGCAAAGGTGAGAAAACATCAGTGTAAAATAGCTGAAAGTCACATGTGAAAAAAGAAATTTGGTGTGTATTTCATATGCGAATTTAGTGCATCGCCGGCAAGTGAACGAGATGTGGACGAAATTAAGTTAGCGATATATTTTAACTGTTTTGAGTAAGCTGTTTCAGTTTGCAAAACAGAAAAAGGGAGAGCTTCTGAAACGAGCGACCTCAAACATAGTGTAGCTTGACTTTCTTAGAAACTGAACCGAATGTGTAATAACGATAGCCAGGGCAAAATTCCTCGCAGTTTAATGTAAATTCTCAATAAATTTCTCCTTTTGATAAAAGGGATCGCGCACTATATAACCATTATGAAAAGAAAGAAAAAGAAACACACACAACAGAACAAAGAAGACACTCCTAAAGATGTGAATAAATAAACGTTCATCTTTGTGCCGCATTTTTTTGTAATTTGAAGACACAATTTTGGTGCGATGGAAGACTTCCAATAACAGCGACGAAATTTTGCATGTACAAGTTCGCAAAAAACCCCACAAAACTAGTCATTGCCCATGTTTACTAAATCAAGTTTTGTTTTCTTCGTATTTGCCTACTGATGATGAATTGCAGCGACCGTGCGTCATCTATCATATAACACGTGATAAAAACATGATTTAAACGGCTTATTTACCCCAGACATTTTTTTATTTTCGTGTTTTTAGCCTCCAAGGTAATTAAAATGTTTTGTCTCAGCGTCATTCTCCCGGGGATTGATGAAGGATCATGATAACCGGCAAAAAACAATGATAAACACATCACGCAAACTTTCACCGAAAATAATATTACAATATTATAGAGGAGCGGTATGTATTTACGTTGCAATTGACGACGTATTCTTCACCTCAGAAACTGTGAATTGAACTTAAATAAGGATCATAAACTCATAACTGTAACATAGTTGTATAAGGAAGAAAAGCTTCCTTCTTGCATCACAACTGTATAAACAGAAAACGATATGATCCCAGCATCGCACACATGCCAAAACTGCAGCATATGGAAACTTTATGTTAACAATTTCCCATCTCAACAATGCTAATTCTCTGAATAAACTTCCTTACCGATTCTCAATATTAAAGAATACTTAGGATAACTCACAAGATCACAGCTTATTGACCTCAAAAACTGTAACTATCCTCAACAACACGCAATTTTCTTTCAATGTTTTCATAAATTGTTTGTTAGTTTCCTTAAATGTACACAATGCACTACTGAACCAATAAGACAGCCTTGTCGAAGTTTGGAGACTGAACCACTTGAGCTAGTGAGAAGGAATATCACTCACCTTTTGTGGTCGGGGTGCTTATAGTTCCAAAATTGAACGGACAATATTGAAATTTTACTTAGTATCAAAGAGGTTGTTCTAGGGGCATTACGTAATATGATTCGATTTAGCCCCCTCCCTCCTTTAGCACACCCATAGAGAAAGTAGTATTCAAGACTGATTGACGTGGAATGCAGACTGATTAGATGAATGAATTATAGAGACCGCTAACTCATCTGGGATTTAATATTGAACATTGTGGCTATCAAAGCACCAGTTCTTAAGTTCTTCAGTTAACGTACTTATAGTGTCACATTCAGATCTAAATATTTAAAAACGAATTGATGACTTATTTTTAAACACGACAAACTTTCAAGCCTGGGGTCGTGTAAAATGCAAACGAAAAATACAAGTAATGTTATTTTGAAAAATCCTTAAACCTAAAACGTTAACACCTATACAGGGATATAAAATAACCGCCCCTCTCCAATAAT